CCAAAACAAAGAGCACATCATTTGGGGGAGAACATTTTTGCTTTTGCTTGTAGCAACATTAAAGTGTATGTTAATAATAATATCGTTCAGGTTATCTGCAAATTCTATGGATCAGTGGTAGTGTTCTAATGAAGTATTATAATAACTGCCATTATATGAAATGGAATGAGATATAGTGCAGCATCTAATTCCTAAGATTGGATTATATGAATTGGAGAAGATATTTGGATATATCTATCACATAAGCAAACTTTTCCTTGGCCTTATTTGTTGGATGATCAACATCATTATATCCTCCGTAAAGTGTTTACAGCTCTATTTTATCTTAAATATAATTACATTACTAGGAGAAGCAATAGTTGATGATGGATCAAAAGACCAAATAGTAAATCTTGTTAACTGCCACAATCTCTGGCTGATGTAAATTCTTTTGTCTCAAATTAAATGGAGAAAATAATGACCTAAGAACATAATCCTGAAGTTGGTAGCCAGCAGTATAAAGAGTAGACAAATAATCTAAGCTTTCTCTGCTAAAGTTTTCTGCATATTTGTGATTAATATTTTCCATCTGGTGTAAGCCTTTTAGTTTCCTTCTCTCTTTTGCAGTTTTTATCCTTCATTTTGTTTTGATTTTGCTTTCTTCATTTGCATCTGAATTTTTTTGATTGACAACATTGAGCAAGCATTCATGAGAGCCTCTTTTTTGTCTTTTCATAATTGGAACATGATATTGTGCTTCCAGATGATGGGGAGGTGGAGTTTTAGCATTACTAAGGTTATAAATTATACTCGCAACTAAATCATCTACAATTCTTTGGTTAACTAGGATGAAGAGAATCAGAATCTATCATGTCTGACCAACTCCATTAAAGTCAACACCAAACAAATGACATTGTGCTGCTCCAGTTTGAATTGACACCCCCTCTCCTCATTCCACCACAAACAACCAACATATCACAAGTAAACACAATATTTACAGTTTTTAATGAACAAATTTTTCTGCACTTAGAACCAATGTATAAGTCCAAAACATACCCTGCAGTTAACCACCTCTAACACAGTTTTCAGGCTATGTAGAAGTGTTTTTTGGTACAAGAGAATCATCAATACAAACTTCAAAAATAAAACTTTAATTCAGACCAACATTTTCCTTGTGAATATGCATATAAAAATGTCCAAAAGACAAGTAAAACAAGATGTTTTCTAAGGCTAATTATGAGGGAAGACTTCCACATGTTCATCCTTGCAAAAACTAAAGATAAGAAATACAAACAATCCAATATATGGTGATGTTAGGAATGATTTTATGACGCTCCACAGAGAGCTGGCTTGGACATCGAATAATTCACAAACTGAATGCTAGAGAACAACACAGTTGATCAAGTTATAGACTTGATACAGCTGAGAGGTTCATAGCTGGGAGGTTTTGCAAGAAGAAGGTGAATATTCCTCCAAGCAGGAACATGAAGGCAAAGGCTAGTAGTATCTTCCCAATATACTGAAAACTGATAGTTGAATTTGGCTGATTCATAGTCATCGGCTTCTTGAAGGATTGGAAGTTGGGTGATATCTGCAAAATTCCAAGACAGACAGCAAAGATGCACTCATTCAATTTGTCTACAAAATAATAACAGAAGATTACACAAATGAGTAATAAATCATATATTCAGGTCGCTTGAAAATTTAGCAGCAGTAGAACTTTTTGTTTTGATAATAAATATCAGTTATCTAAGCAGGTCCTGATGGCATTTTTCTGGCAAAACGCTATCATACATATTCTTATTTCTTCATCATTTCTCGCATTTTAGTTTCGAGATAGGACAAAAGTATACCATTCAATTGCCATAAGCCGAGTTCTGCTTTAGAAAACCACTACTACTTTGGGGATTGTATAGACGTAAAGCATGCTAGCAAGGTTAACTAGCTACTTAACAGGATAATACTAAGACCATGTAGTGCAGAGTTTCCAAATTTTTCCAGAGATGATGTGTGCTATAGAAATTTTAAGAGACCTATTAGCAGTTCCCTTTCGGCCTTCATCTATTATATCTCCAAATGGCACCTCGAATGCACTTTTTGTGAGCTGGAATATGAAGATCTAAGCTGTCTTCAAGACATCAAACCAATCTTTCTGTTCCTGTGGCTTCAATGTATCTCTTTTTCAAAAGGTCTTTAATGTGGATTTTCTTTTAACAAAGATGAATACACCGTAAACCTCATAATCCCCTAAAAGGCATTAAATGACTTTCACTATGGATAACAACCTACTCCATGAAGCCAGCCAAAGGAGAAATAGCATGGAATTACCACTAATGATAACAACTTATGCCACAGAAGTAAGCCCATGGAAAAATAAACCTAAAACTAAAAAGTTGACAGCTTGAAAAAAACCATTGCTTTTGGTTTGTCATGTTCTCTTGCTTAGATTATTCAATATGACCCTCTTTGTTATTTGTTTGCCCACAAGACTCTAAGAAGTAACATTTAGTGAATATTCTAGCAATACAGTCAATATTATAATCTCCTATAGTTTCAGGAAAGCATGGATAAAGATTAACAAACAAACATACAGTGATGTCTGGAAGTACCTTTGAATTCTGCAGCATTCCTATTGATTCGTCATGCCCTGAGATTAGAAGAATATAATTATAAGAAACACATATGTAATATCAACTTCCAGACAATTGTTTAATATACAACTGAATCTTGTAAAATTCAGTCTCGACTATACCTTCATCAGTAACAGTCTGCAAATTCCAACCTTTCCCGTAGTTAACAAGAATAGAATTAGGACCAAAGACCACAGGTTCCTCCCCTTCCTTTACAGCCTCAATATGCAAGCCTGGGGCAACCCCGATATCCAGTTTACAATTGATCACATACAATGCATATCCAGCAGTGGTTCCAGCTGCGAACCTCCTAACCTTACCTGAGCTCCTGCAAAGAACCTCCACAAACTGTCCCAAGAGAGAAGTTCAATACAACAAATAGAAATACAGATGGAAAGCAGAAACATTTCATCTGTTGTAAGTGTAGCCTCCGAAGGTCAACAGAGTATACAATATGCTAAGCACAATAACCATGGTGATCCTGCCCAATTTCACAATAAGCAAATTATCGAACTTCTTATGCGTCTTATATCTGCATCAAAATTGTACCTCTTAGATCACTAATTAACATCATGGAAAGCGGAAATCTAAGATGACAAAATGTCGGGGAATCGAAGCGTTTGATCTGCAACTCCAGTCTCCTACCAATTGGCATGATGAATATAACCCCCTTAAATGGAAAATCTCAGTAACAAGAGAGAATTTTTCGAGTACACCATTCAAATTCAATACAAAACATGTTAAATAATACGTAATCCTTTCTTGTTTGAGTTCAATTTTACGAAACCTATGAAAGATTATGTAATCCTTCTCACAAGAGATGGATAAGATCAGATGAAAGATCAACGATAGATGACAAAGCTAGTCGTTTTCAAGAGAAGAGAAGAGCGACTGACCGGAGGCTGTGAGGACTCGGCAGACTTCCCCCTCTCCTCCTCCCCGTCGCGGCCTTCATTGTCCATGGACGCGACTCCCTTCTCTATGTCTTCTCCCTCGCCCTGGTTGTTGTCGATCCCGAGTTGACCACGGTACACACAATGCCCTCGAGTTGTGATCTAACGGTTGAGATGTGTTGTTCAACTGAGTTGGTCGCATCTCACCCTTCATTTTTGGAGTGGGTCTTCTTGCCGAGTCGGATCGGGTACAATGGTCAAACGCGAACCCGACCTCTTAAGTCTTCCACAAAAGAGCGACTGTGCTGAACCTTGTAGTGTTAAATTGGTTATTGATATAATACAATTATTTAACTATATACAAAGTTTAAAAGGGGGATTTATGTAGCAATGTACTCTAAATTCTACTTAGAAAAATAATAAAAATAATAAGCCGAGATATTTAGATAATATGTTCAAACATAGTTGTTACTTAACAAAGGTATCATGACTCTGATAAGTCAGCACGGTTAAGCCCATGTGCCGACGTTGGGAATTTCTGGTAGGAATGCGAGGGTTGACTTTCCAAGGTCCACTGACCTCGAGCTCTATATGTGAGAAGACATGTCCGCTCGTTTCTAGGATAGATGGCGACCTTCCTCACCATGCAGGCTCCTCTTTGGAATGGGAGACAAGACTGACACCTGTTGAATCCAAGCCACTGGGTTGCCCTCCTCTACGTATTGGGAGACGACTTCGGGGTGAAGGCGCCTGTGGCTTGAGGACGACCACCTTCTTGCAAAAAGGCATTCGTCGGGTATGTCCCGACTTTGAACCCTCCAACGAGCAAGTTAGATTGGATTTTATTTC